CGTTTCCCGCCGGATGATTGCGGTATCATGAAGTGGCCATTTACAGTGGCCATAGAGAAGAATAAAAAAGTGAAGGGCAGAAAGTTAATGCACCGGCATAAGAGGGTCGGCAGAATCGGGCAGCGTCGCGAGAAAAATGGGAGGGAGAGAAACGTGCCAGGTTTAACTGACGACTCTGAAAATGGAAACTCTGTGTACCTGTCATAATGACCATTAGTGTTTGACCGGCGGACCCTTTCGGCTCGCAAAGGGAATGCATTTCTCTACCGCTAGCTTAACTTCTGGATCGTTGAATTACGATTCTAGACGGTGGCCGTAGAAATTTGTTGATTTCCAAGATCCCAGGATTTACGGGAATTTCAGTGATCCTTCTTAAGGAAAAGGATTCTTTTATTTAGGATTTATCCTATGATTCTTCTTTTAAAGCTAAATCTATGATTCCTGTCTTCTAATCAGAATTTGTAAAAATAATATTGTACATTGATTAACTTATATTTATTTTCTTCTAAATAATGTATTAAATTATTAATATCCTAAAGTGAGGGGTGTTCTACACTTTAATATATTTTCACTCAGATGTATTAATTGATTAATAGATGACCAGTCATTTTTTTATTAACAATATTAATGAAATATAATGAAATTAACTGGTTATATCTGTTAAACTTTAAGGTTTAAATTGATGTATCATAAGTGCTATTTTTATAATACTTTTATGTCATCAAATTCTATTAAACTGTTTATGTATCAATGTTTCAAAGTTATTCGTAGACAGATAATAATAATAAATGAAGAATTTCGTTGGTTTATTTGAAACATCGTAGGATAGAGAAAGAAGAGGCTATTCCATGGCTTTTATTAAGAACCCTTAATCTCTTTTCAGGTGTGGGTAGATGCTGCAACGCAGGTGTTCTTTTCCCTCGGACCTGGCTTCGGAGTTCTTCTCGCTTATGCGAGTTACAATAAATATCACAATAACGTTTACAAGTAATAAATACAGCAATAATTAAAAATCGATATTCTATAAAATAAATTTTTATCACTACATGACAAAGATTGATATTATTTGCATTTCCAATAAATTGATATTCTTTAAAATATTTGTTTCTTTCAGGGACGCTTTATTAACCAGCCTGATCAACAGCGCAACGTCCTTTGTCGCAGGATTTGTCATATTTTCTGTGTTAGGATACATGGCCCGAGCAAGTGGTAAATCCATCCAGGACGTTGCAACTGAAGGGCCTGGTCTAGTGTTTATTGTTTACCCTGCTGCTATTGCTACCATGCCAGGGTCAATGTTTTGGGCACTCATCTTCTTCATGATGTTGCTTACCCTGGGGTTGGATAGCTCGGTATAGTCTTCGATATAATTTCCACGAAACTATGTTCATTCTTACTTCTAATTTTATTTTAAATTCAAGAATTTTATTATTACAAAATAACACTGATACCGGTGTTTCTATCTTTCAGTTCGGAGGATCAGAGGCAATAATAACCGCTCTCAGTGACGAATTCCCAATTATAGGCAACCACCGAGAAATCTTCGTCGCTTTACTCTTCACCTTATATTTCATTGTTGGTTTAGCTTCCTGTTCTCAGGTAAAGTACATAAACAGCTATAAAAATATAATTCTATGTATTAAATATCTTCTACATTTTCACAGGGTGGCTTCTACTTCTTCCACCTGTTGGATCGTTACGCGGCTGGTTATTCTATGCTTTTCGCAGTCTTGGCAGAATCAATTGCAGTTAGTTGGATCTATGGAACAGACAGATTCTGCGCAGATATCAAAGATATGATTGGATTTTCTCCAGGAATCTATTGGAGAGTTTGCTGGAAATTCGTCGCTCCGATATTCCTCATGGTACAATGAAATTAAAGTGAAACTTTGTTAGAATGCTCGCTTATAACAAGATTATTAGACCAACTGAACGTATCCAATAAAAATAATGAGGGTAACGAAGATACGATCTTTCCATGTTGTTACAGTTCATCATCGTTTATGGTTTAATGGGTTACGAACCACTGACTTACGAGAATTACGTGTACCCTGTCTGGGCAAACGTATTAGGCTGGTTAATTGCGACTTCCTCAATTGCCATGATACCAGGAGTTGCAATTTACAAGATCATCGTCACGCCAGGCAGTTTCATGCAGGTGATTATCTTGATCTTAAATTGATTCTGTTTCCTCTCTTTCTGCCTCGTGGCAATTTAAATGATCGTTTCACGTTATAGAGACTAAAGATTCTCACCACCCCCTGGAGGGATACCCAACAAAGAAATGCGGACTTGTTGGCATCGGTAGCAAACGGAGCTGTTCGTCGTAGTTTGATCCTGGACCAAGACGTGAATTTGTCGAAGGAGCAACAAGAATTGACTAAGGAACAAACGGAAGTCATGATCCAATCCAGGGAGGGTATTAACGGAGATCCGCCTCCGGAACCAGTCTAGGACAGTGCGGTTGTGATTTTGCACGGTGCCCGGTTCCAAGTATACCTTTGCTAACGTTCCCTCCTTTGGATCCACTTTTATCCAACTCTTTGCGCTGAATCATGAGATCTTCGAACGCACTCACTTAGATTTTACGATAACCCCCTCGACGATTCTTCTATGACGAGGCTTCAAAGACCTCTGCGCAGTGGACTCGATTCCTAAGAAAAATCGTGTTGTATATAAAGAGTCTATTAATAGGTTTTTGAAGATCATCATTCGTTGACCTGGAACCTGTTAATAGAACTTTAATTGTTATTATTAATTTTCACAGTCATTACAGTGTCATTTGATGCGCTATTAAGTGCTTTTGTTTTCTCTTATAGTGTTCAAGAGAACGCGTCGCAGATGGTCCAACCTGTAAATATTACAGGCATTATGAAATTTCCTAGGTGAACTTATTGAATAGATTACTAATATTATCATAGACCTAGCAAGTACATCTAAGGCTCTCTCATTATGTAGAAGAAAGAAGTTTCCTCGGGCAATAGCTTTAACACTTATCTTCTAATTATAAAAAAAAAAGAAAACATTTCAAACAGAGAAAAGGAGTTGAATATATAAAATATCACAAATTAAACTTAGGTGACTGTAAGGGAAGAGTGCTATCCGTTTTAAAGTATTTAGATATAATAAAATTTCTTTCCTTTTTGTTTTACAGGACATAATAATGAAGAAAGTGTTCAGAAACAATTTCTATTAGCATATTGCAAAAGGTTAATAGGAATTCCAAATGATGCATTCTATTGTCAAGTTTCCATTTGATTATTCGACGCTTTTACATCGTCTGGCTTCGTCCAGGCGTATATGCTGTGTAGACTATACGCAATTGTAACCACCGGTCAGGTGTAAAACGTTACATTAAAAAGTAGTGTTGTTCAAATGTTAAGAAAATGACGAAGCAACCACGCTTTACCTATTAGATATTTAATAAAGGCAATAGAATTGCAAAGAGCGGGGTGAAGCTTCTAAGTAAAAACGATACAGTATTCTAAAACTATTATAATTTAGTTTCAGATTATAATAATTGTGAATCACAGTATATTATATTTTCATTATTTTTTTTGTGTGGAAGTAATTTGTACAAGTATTTTTACTGTGTTACCATCCTTAATTACTTATGATACAAGTACTTGTTGAATATAATATTTCAACCTTTTTACAGTATTACCATACAGTATAGGTATTTATAGAAAATTAAAATGTTAAATTGCAAAAGATATTCTATAACAGTTATCTGTTTTCTTAATTGTGAGAATTGATGAGATCACAAATAGTTGAGTAGATATTAAGTATTTGAAAAAAAAAAAAAACTATCGTCGTGAACTTGTTAGAAAATATTGTATGTGCAGAGATATAGTTTATTGTCGTTAGATGCAACGATATTTATACATGTATAAATATATGCGTTTGCATATATATTTATACATATACATATACATATAGAAAGGAGCCATCAGAAGTAAAACATCTAAATGTCTTCTTTAACTGTGGGAATTTAGAATAATGTTCCATCTATAATTCGAGCAATTTTGTAAAATAAATTTGTTCAAAAATTTTTATTAGAATTTAGAATTTCATTGTTTACAATTTCTGTGATTTTTATTGTGCGAAATCGTTTACTTCAATGTAACAATCCTAATATATTTTGTAGTAATTATACTTTATAAAAGACAATTTTGTTTATCAAATTTATGATTCGAAAATGCTTCAATTATGTTTTCAAGATTATTCAGATTCTCACGAATCGAGAACAATACTCTAGTATTCCATTTAAGATGAATCATCCTGTATAATTATATGTTATATTTTATACATCGCATCTGAGCTGTAACCGCAGCCATAGGTAGCAGCTCAGGCCTTGTTGTTAACGTAATAAATAAATATATAAATACTTGAAACAGATCGACACCTGTATCATAAGCGAAACAATATATTCTTCAATCATATTGTTCATAAAGTTCATTGTATATTTATTGAACGAATAATTTGTCAAACTTTTTAATAACTTTGTTATTGTATCAGAGAAATTTAAAAAAATCGCGTGTTTACTAGATAACACTTTGACTTCCGTTTTCAATAGTTTTCGTATTGTGATGTTATGTATAATCTACTTTGTGAAATGAAACAATTGTTTCTTTAATAAAAATTTATGGAAAGTATCAAAACGATAATGCATCTATTGCCTTAAATTTGAAATCATTTTATTTCATTTTCTATTTTCAGTATTTTTTTTTAGTATTCTTGTTTTGATTCAACATAGCGTTGAAGAAACGTTTTGAAATTATAAATAGAATTAGTGAATAGAAATTACAAACATCTTTTTATAACAATAGGAAAATTATTGAAATGCTAGAATGGATTCTTTTTTTGTAAGCATAAAAGCTTATTTTTGATAAAATTTTATTGCAGGGAGAAGGTTTCTCTGTTTGTAGTAATCAAGTGTTGATAAGAAAGTTCTCTATTCAAAATTTCTCGAGGATACTGCACTTCTCTTTACTTTGATCAGTGACTACCACTGCTTTGATCAATAGCAGGAAAAATGGCGCCTGCCATGGAGAGTTTAACCGACGTACAAAAGCAAATTTTTGAGAAAATCAGTAACAATGAAGTGGCGGAACTTAAAACGTTGTTGGCGGCAAATAAAATTAAAATGGATTTTGTAGATGAAAATGGTATGAGTCCACTTCAACATGCCTGTTATAAGGGAAATAAAGAAATAGTACAGATGCTTCTAGATCAGGTAGGTTAACTTCGGTGATTTAACAACAAAATTAAATATTTTTAATAACTTCTCGTTTTCTATTAAAGTAATTTAAGTCATTAAAAAGCTAAACGTAAGTTATATATCCAATAAAATGGATAATTCTCAAAACTTCATCTTATAAATTAATAAACAAACATATATGCATATTTGATGTCACGAGAGTCCATAACTGCGAAAAGACCAGTTTTCGTTCTTTTCTGCGCATCGTTGCTTTGATTGGCGATACTCCCAGACGAAGTGGAAAGCGATTGGCGGAGAGCTCGCTGCGTACCCCCACCATCCTCCAACCTGCGCGTCGTTAGTTACGGACTCTCGTGGCATCAAGTATATACGTATTTAGTTTGAAATGTAATTGAACTTTAAAATGAATTAGATATTAAAAATTATTCTACATAAATTTAAAAAATATTATGTAAGAGATTTCTATTTTTATTCAAACAATTAATTTAAAATTTATTATTTTAGGGGGCTGATGTGAACGCATGTCAGCATGAACATGCATACACAGCTCTCCATTTCGCTGCTTTAAGTGGAAATGCAGAACTGTGCCATTTGTTAATGTCCCATGGAGCTCGTTTGACTGCAACAAATAGTGTAGGACGAACTCCAGCACAAATGGCTGCTTTTGTTGGGAATCACAACTGTGTAGCAACTATCAATAACTTTATTCCAAAGGCTGACATAGATTATTATGTGAAACCACAGGGTTTACAGACTGAATCGATGCTTCCACCGCATCTAGCAGATTCTTTCCACAAATTTATAATGCAAGTCAATGTACATCCTGTACGCGTAGCTCTAAACTTGCAGAGATGTCCTGGTCTCTTAGAAAATGCTGATAAGGTAAAATAAAGAATGAAATAATGAAAATTTCCAAATAGCAATACGTACTTTTTCTGATTTGTAGGTACAGAAAGTTCTAGAATCTATGCGTCACAAAGAAATGACAAGAGGCGCTGAAACAAATGTAGTGATGGCATTTAAGTATCATTACCTCAGTTGTGTCGTCGCCGAAGTAATTAAATTCCAAAAAAGGCAAGAAGCAATGAAGGCAGAGAAAACTGAAAAAACAAATGAAGAAGGAGAAGAGAGAAAGTCAGATACTATAGAAGGTTTAATAAGAAAATTTTTAAAATGTAGCAAAAATGATGACATACCAGAATACCAAGAAGCTTTTTTAAGAGAAACTGTGAGAGAATTTCCATATCGAGAAAGCACAATTTTTCGTCAAATGGTAGCAACTCTTGCAGCTACTGATCCACCATCAGCACTATCGGTAGTATCGGCTGCAATTAATGGTCAAAGAGCTTTCTCTGATAACGCACAAGTCTGCGTCACATGTGGAGAAGATAAAGCTAGTAAAAAATGCAGTAAATGTAAAACAGTGCAATATTGTGATAGAGAATGTCAAAGACTTCATTGGTTTATGCATAAAAAGGCATGTACTCGATTAGGTCAAAGTACAACATCAAACGCAAAAATAACCGACATGGACAAAGAACAAATAAGTAATGCCGTAAGCTCTAGGTTACAAAATCTAAATGTTAATTAATTGAGAGCAAAACAAAATGTGAAATTTAATTTTTACGTGGTGTATGTATATGGTTCATTTGTTATTTTAATCTAACTAAATTGACTAGTTGAAAACACCTTTAATCTTTTATTTTTAGGTTTACAGAGAGGAACGGACTTTTTATGTACCACATTTACATTTCTATCCTTGTTTTTTTGTTTGAAAAATCCACTGTATAATTGATAATGTATTATAAATAACTTCGTTGTACCCAAATACTCTATTAAAAATGTTATTTCCTCAGAATTGTATTATTGTGATTGTCGTCATCGAGAAAATAAAATATCCTTATGAATATATTTTTATTATCATGCATTTTAACATTATCAATTCTTATTTACTTTGGTTCGTTCAACAAATACGTTACAAATATGAAAACTGCTATTAAAATAATATTTCCCTTTATTTATTACATAATTACAAATAAATAAAAATGGCAACAAAGTACCTGGTGCTAAAAAAATATATAAATCGACTTTTTCTTTGGTAATTATCGTATAAACCTTTCCCTTACGATTAGTATAGAAGCTTCGAAGCGATTTCAAGTTTCTACCAATGACGGTGACTGATCGTTCCGTTTCAGCCAATTAGATTCATCGTTATAGGCTGAGTGCGCACGGCATACCTTGTCATTCTGCAACAGCGAAATCAAATTATCTTCTAATATTAAATTAAATTGTTTTTCAGGTGTTAGAAGTACAAAAAACAGAAAGAAAAATCTAAAAGAAGTTTAGATTCCTGATTTTTGACATTAATTTGGCGTTTTCTTTATAAGTACGTGAATTGAAACAAGAAACAAAATCACAATAAGATTAAAACAGCAGAATCTGAATTACTTTCCCTTTATATCAATAATTTTTTGTACATCATTCCAACACCATTTTTCCTATAATTTATTGTTGTAAATTGTGATAATTGATTTCTTTGTGTTGACTATTCTGCCGATATGGCGTAACGTAGTGAAATTTTGGGAGTATTTCAGAACGTGAGACACGAACTCCCATAAGTTGACAGGTCTATCTCATACTTTGTCTGTGGTATTACTAAAAATGGTAATCGACTGTAACTCATGAATAAAAAATAGAATTCTGTAGTGGACCAATATTGGTACAATGTTTCTTATTAAAATTCCTTGTAATGATGTTTGAGAAAATTTAAGCATAAAAAATGGCTTTGGTACAAGCTGATTACCCAAATAATACAACGAAATTTGATTTGATAGTAGAAAAATTGGTTGCACTTACTAAAAAGAAAAACAATGAAACGAAGTTGATTAACAATTATATTTGCAATCTTAATGAACTCGATTATCGATATATTACTGTCTCAAACGAAAATGTAAGTAATTGAAATAATTTTGAATGATGTCAGATAAATATATTATTATTTTATCTTATAATTATGTTTTAGGCAGTGCAGTTACTAATTAAACAATTATGTGGCATTATAATACCTACAGAAACAGCTTTGGTGCAAAATCTTTGTAAACTTTTGACTACTTTCATTCAGAATAATATTAAGCTCCAAGAAGAAACATTTGCACATTTTAAACAATGGATTTTGGAAGCTTTAAAGTCTGCTTCCTCAATTGCACATAACAATATTTTTTTAGCCTTGAAGAGTATTTTAATAAATAACCAATTTAATAATATTAATCATGTAAATATAAACTAATTTAAAACAGTATTTTATGTCATACTACAACAGTATTTAAAATAATATATATTTGCAGGATTTGCAGTTATTACTTGATGAAAACCAACTGTTGATAAAATATTTAAATCAGTGTAGTACAGAATGGACTGAAACTCACTGTAATGCAATTGGATGTTTAGAAGGAATTTTAGTAAATATAAATAATAGTACTTCAATAGCAAAAGAATTTGTGTATATCATCAAGAATGTGATATTAAATATTGTTTCATCTTCTGTATGTATAAAAGATAATAAACTCATTCACATAAAAGTAAGTAATGAATTATATATATATATATATAATGGTCTATGATAATTCATTCAAAATTATTAAATGAAATTTTTAGATTTTATGTTCCTGCTTACATATTTTACACATTATAACAATCAATAGATTGATACCACATTCCACTGAATTCATGGGTGAAATTTTGGGAGTGGTACAAGCATTTCTATTTTATGGTATTAAAGACTACTCTCCTATGAGGCCACAACTTCTTCGTCCAGCGGTAATGAATCTTCCAGAACGAATCCATGTTATTCCTAGATGTAAAAACTTGAAAAACCACAAAGCAAAATTAAAGAAACAACCTGCTAAAAAAGCTACAGAGATAAATAATAGTATTGTGTCAGAATGCAAGGGAGTCAGTATATATTCTAGTGATTCAGATACCTCAGACACAGAAAGTAATAATTCTGTCCTAATGGATTCCAAAGTAAGACTGGAAACTGTTCATTTGTTACAAGCTCTTATTGAAACTTCACAAAGTCGTGAAATGTTTGGATTTTGGCCACAAATTGTTGCCACTGGTTCACGAAACGATGCCAGGGTATTAACTAGATGTATTCTAAAAGAATTTGTATCAAAAGTGAAGCAACGCATGTTAAGCACACTAACAGAACTGCTGATAGATGCCAAACCATTTTTAATGCACGCCGAAGATGTTCATCATACATCTTTTATTACCTTTTTTGGTACAGTGTGTCTAATGATCAAAGAATTACATTTCACATTATCCTTAATTTTAAGTAGCGAATCAAATGTAGCAATTTTAACCCATACTTTAAAGTGTGCCACTGCTCTAATTCAGGCCACACCATATGCACGTTTGAAAACTGGGCTTGCTACAAAATTAATGAGAAATTGCAGGCCATATATATTTCACAAAGGTATTTATATTATTAATATAAATTATTATAGAAATCAAGTATGGCATTTGTTGTGCTTTATACAGATCCAACAGTTCGAGTTGCGGCATTATCAGCATTTGAAGCTATTGCTTCTTGTGATCCAGTTACTCCAGAGATATTTGAAATACTTGCAAAGCAATCAACTGTAAATTTAGAGTCAGATCAGTTGCATTTTAATGTTTCATTTAATGATAGTACAGAGGAACAAGAAGAAGAAATAGATGCTGAAGATCTAAAAAATGATACAGTGGTTAAATATAATAACAAATTATTGGAAGATACTAATATATGTTTCTTAGTTCATGTTTGTTTAGAGAATATATCAAATAAGGTAAAGCTATGTTTGAAGAATGAAACAAATAAGTTTGAGAAATTAATAATGTATTTAATTATAGACATTGAGTACACCTGTTCGGCTTCAGTCTCTAAAATTAATTGGAAGAATGGTATTCACTATAGGAAGTCTTGTACTTTCACATACAGAATTAGTCACAACAACTTTAATTGCAGCTGTACAGGATTCTGAAGTACAAGTGATATTACATGCTTGTCGAGCTCTGGAGATTATGGCCGGTTGCTTCATGAATTCTGACTTTGAAGACAATGCTTTATTATTTTGGAATATTATATTTGATCCTATGATACAGCTTTTCCAACATCAAGAAACAATAATAAGAGAAGCTGCGTGTGATTGCTTAGGTAGCATTAGTTCTACCGCGTTCACTCAATTACCTGTGAGTGTTCACTGAATAATTTTATACAAATAAATATGTACATAAACAAGTACACAGATAATTAACGAATTCTGATATAAAATATTTTTATAGCGGCAAAGAGCAGTTTTAATTATCACAGTAATTTTTGGTGCAGTGCACGATAAAGAAAGTGCTGTAAGAGCTGCTGCATTACGAGCATTAGGAATGTTAGTAACTTTACCTGCATTGAAAGAGGAAACTGGATTTTTAATGGATTTAGCTAACATAGTTTGTTTAACGGCTGATGATAAAAATCTTGGTGTTCGTATTAAAGGAGCCTGGGCATTAGCTAATTTGTGTAATTGCCTTTCTGAAGAAAAGTAAGCTATAAGTTTCTACTTTATTGTATTTTACATTATTTTTTCATATAAAATTCATCTGTCAGAAGTAATGAAGAAGTAGTTGAACCCATTCCTTTGGAAATTGTATTACCCAAAATTTATCAAGTCAGTATTAAGGGATCTAAGGACAGTGATAAGGTAAAATGTAATGCTGTTAGAGCCCTTGGAAGTATTCTGAACTTATGTCCTGACAAACACATACTAAATGATACATCATCAGGATTAGAAGCTCTTATAAACTGTGCTATTTTGGGAAATGATATGAAAGTAAATACTATTATACATTTTAACTAGCTGTGTCAATATAATTTTTAATACATTTTTACATTAAATATTATAGGTTCGTTGGAATGCTTGTCGAGCTTTAGGACTGGTTTTAAGCAACAATCCAGATAATATATTACCATCTTCTTGGCGAGTATGTAATTAATAAAATGATTATTTTATTTATTTTTCATACAATGTAATTGTTTTAGTAGGACCAAGTATTTCCTGTGTTATGCAACTTAATATGTGATAGCCCGAATTTCAAAGTTCGAACTAACGCAGCATGGGCACTATATTCTTGTAATTCTTACGGTAAATATACCGTAACTTTGTGGAAGAATATTACTTTAGCATTCGAAAATTCTCAACATGTACCAAGTTATATTGAGTACCCCCATCGCGACGCTCTCATACAACAAGTAATTAAAATTAATGTTACATACAAACTTACATAATTATATATTTATTAGATAAATATTGTTTAGCTGTGCCTTACGCTTAGTCACGTAGCTGCTTGTACCGAAGTGCAAGACTTACTAAATCTTTGGACCGAGATAGGCGAATATGTACACGATATTTCTAATTACATGAAACAATTTCAGGTACAATATTTTATTAATAATGCTTGATATATTTTTTAATATATTAATAACTTTTTATTTTAGGAAACTATTGTACCTGAAAAAGTAGGGGATTTAATAAAAGCGCAATCTCAATTAGAAAAATATGTAAAAAGTGCTCCAACAACAAAGGAGCAAAAAATTGCCCAAACATTAGCAAGTATTTTTGAAAAAACTAAACGATATGATAATTTAGATGTTACTATTTCAACATAGCAGTGCAATGTCTGCTAAAATAAAACAAATTGTATATTGATTGTATATTGATTTATATCTCAGATCCTAGATGCATTACAATTATTTAAATGTAAATACAAGTAGAAAGAAATGAGATCATTCACAATCAAGTTATACAAATTTTTGAATAAAATTTATATTTTTATTTCGATTTATTTACCTTTTAAATTTTTTTTTCGTCGCTTTTGTAAAACTGATTTTTTGTTTGTATTATTCCAAACATTAACAATATCTGAATACATATTACACTTAAAAATATATTTGTATCTTTATTAGTGTTAAGAAACTGCCTCAGTTGAACTTTTCTTTTCTGTATTAGTATCTTCATTTTTAAATGCATTTACAGCCGAATCTACAATTTTATTTGATGTTTCACTATCATGAACAGTGTCAGAGTTACTTTCTTCGCTACACTTACTTTGTGAATCTAATTTACCTTCACTTGTACTAGCCTTATCGACATCTTCTTTTAAATTAGTTAATGAAGATTTTATAGTTGTGTCATCTTCAGGTTTATTGTCCTTATCACTAGTTTCACTATTAGATATATATTCACATGAATTATCATTGTTGTCTTTTATTTCTTGTTCACCTGAGCTTTCTTCTTCTGAACTACTGTTTTCATTTATATTATGAAGTCCAGTATTTCCAACTTTCATTTGTTTCTTTTGTTTCCACCTTTGCTTCTTTTTTAATCTCTTTGCTCTTTTTTTTGCTGTTATTTCCTCAGCTATTTTTTTATTTTCTTCTAATTTTCTGTGATATTCTTCATCTAACAGTTCCTAATAAAAATATGTTAAACATTAAAATTTTCGTATTTATTTAAAAAACAATTACAATTTTATTTGAAATTACCTTCTGTCCCTTTTCTTGAATAAATTTTTGTCGCGCATATTCTTTACGTCTCAAATGTCTATATACATGGAATTCTCCACTACCTGCACCTGCACTACTACCCATTACATTGCGAACAAATTCTGGTACAGTTGGTGTGCTTTTAATTTTAGGTCTTTCAGGTATTATAACAGCTTTCTCCTATTACAACAGTAATGAAATTCAAATATTTTCAACAATTATATATAACATTATTTAAATTAACACATGGTACCAATTTTATTTTATAAAAGGAATTATATTATAGAAAAACAATGAATAAACATGTTTAGAGTTTATGACACATACTGGATTTTTCATCAGTTTTTGGAGTTTTAATCGTTGCAAATCAACTGCTGTTTTTGCAACAACAGGCTTCTCTTCTTCTTTTTCTTTAGTTTTCGGCATGATGTTTTATTACTATACAAAGAATAATCTTAATACCGGTAATATCTTAACAATTTTATAAGTTTCTCCTAATATTGCTATAATGTGAGGTTATAGACACAATAACAAAAGCGAAATGTAAATACATACATTGTATCCATATACCGCAGTTGACCAGAGTCCATAACTGCGAAGACCAGTTTTCGTTCTTCGCGCATCTCCAGTACGCATCTTCGCCCTGATTGGCGATACTCTCAAACGAAGTGGAAAGCGATTAGCAGAGAGCTCGCTGCGTTCCCCCACCATCTTCCAACCTGCGCGTCGCAGTTCTGGACTCTGGTGAACTGCGGTATATAAGCCAATAACGACATAGCGCACGGTAGTAAGAGAGATGGAACAGAGTGAAAAAGTAAACAATCTGCCTCGCCAACTTGTGGTGAACGCACAGTACATACATAATACAAAAATCGTTAATAGTGTTGATTATTATAATGATAAATATTTCATTCATTTAAAAAAAGAACAATAAAAAATATCTGATACATATAAAAATGCTTTAGAATATAGGTATTTGTGTAAAAATACAAAAACTCTTCTTATATGATATTGTATAATGGATCAAATTTTTAAATCTTGTCTTTTTATTTTTGAAATTGTTCAATGTATACATTTATTTTTTATTTTATCTCTATTCATGTAAACATATTTAAAATGGAATACTAAATAAACATTTTTTGTAATGTTAAAAATATATAGTTATTCAGAGAAAAGGAATAATAATTGTGAAAAGAAGATAATAAACTAGAATTATTTATTTTAGTGAAAGTTTTAGTAACAATAGCAATTGTCTACACATTATCGGTAAACTTAGAAACGATCTCCATTCTTCTGAATTATTTAATTCATGATTTGTCTTTCATCATGCCACACGTCAGCATAGTGCGCCCTCTGCTTGTTTCCTCGTATTTGTATATATGATGTGGATGAGAGATTGGCTTATGTAAAAAATTGTATTAGGTTAATCGTACAACAAATAACGTATCAAAATAATTGATTAAAATGGTAAGCACTTATTTGTTATTAAATTTAAGTCATTGTCAAACCACATATATTTTAAGTAACATTTATGACAATATCATTATGGTAAGAGGTGCTACAGATGTCAACCACCGCTCATGGTTATCACCGAAATATACATATATAAAAAAATTAAAATATATTTTATTCTGAAATTATTTACTCGTGTTTTAGGTACTTATTGCCGCAGCGGTCTGCACTAAAGCAGGCAAAAGTAAGTATCGTTTATTCTCAGCAGCCGCACCTGTTTATGCATGTGTGTGTTTTATCTCTTAATCTTATTCATAATTATATTTTTTTAATTAATAAATATTTAACTACAACCCCCATTTTGTTAATATACTTATTTATTTATACTTTTACCTTTATAAGTATTTATTCAACAATAAATGATGATTCTAATATTAATTAATCATAAACATTATTTTATATTTCATCAATTAGAACTCTTATATATAATATAATTTATATTTATATTATTTCATATAAATTTATGAAGTATGTGTACCTTTCTTTTGTTGAAATAGTTTTTTTAATATTATTTAATATAGATTAGTTCTCTTGACTTATATATTTATTAATTAAGCCGAATAAATCTAATTTAATAATTTGTAATAATTTTAGCTATTATCTCTCGCCAATTTGTTGAAATGACAAAGGCAAGAATAGAAGGTTTACTTGCCGCATTTCCAAAATTAATGAGTTCTGGCAAACAGCATACATTTGTAGAAACAGAATCTGTAAGATATGTTTATCAACCTTTGGAAAAGGTATACATGTTGTTGATTACAACAAAAGCCAGTAACATATTAGAGGATTTAGAAACATTGAGGCTCTTTGCAAGAGTTGTAAGTATATCATAAATATGAGAGTAAATTGTGATTTTCAATATAGTTTTAATGAATTAAATAATAATGTTACATATTTAAAGATTCCAGAATACTGCAATTCAATGGATGAACTTGAAATAGCTGAAAATGCGTTCAATTTAATATTTGCATTTGATGAAATAGTTGCATTAGGATATAGAGAAAGTGTTAATTTAGCACAGATTAGAACATTTGTGGAAATGGATTCACACGAAGAAAAGGTATATCAAGCTGTTAGAATGACTCAAGAAAGAGAGGCCAGGAATAAAATGCGTGAGAAAGCAAAAGAATTGCAAAGACAACGAATGGAAGCAAACAAAAAGAGTGGTCTTAAAAATCCTGGATTTGGCAATGCTTATGGAAGTAGCAGTAACTTTACACAAACTCCTAGTGTAGGAGATACTGCTAATTTTGTACCAGAACCAGTCAGACCATCGTACACGCCAACACAGTAAGAAATAATTATAAGATAAAAGGTAATGTTACTAGAAATTATATTATATAAATGTTTCGTTTTGCAGAAAACCTGTTAATGCTGGACCAGGCGCAATGAAATTAGGAGGAAAATCTCGAGATGTTGATTCTTTTGTTGACCAGTTAAAAGAAGAAGGAGAAAATGTTGTATCAACACCTTTACTTGCAGCAGGCTCAAAAGCAGCATCAATTACACCACAGACTATTAATACGGAACCGTAAGATTTTTATTTATTTCATTTGTATGTACACCGTTAGTGGTTATTATATAATACACTTTTATTTGAAGAGTTCATTTACGGCAAGAAGAACGTCTTAACGTACGAATTGGCCGAGATGGCGGATTGCAACACTTCGAATTGCATGGTTTGGTAACATTACATATTTCCGATGAAAAATGGGGTCGAATTCGTGTACAATTAGAAAATAGGGATTCGAGAGGAATTCAGTTACAAACCCATCCTAATGTAGATAAAGAATTATTTAGGACTCGTGGTCAAATAGGTTTAAAGATTCCTTCAAAACCATTCCCATTGAATACTGATGTTGGAGTACTAAAATGGCGATTACAAGCTCAAGATGAAACAGCATTGCCTATTTCAAGTAGGAATTATTTATTATATAAAATTATTTTCTTATATATAGCATTATAAAAATTGAGTTTTGTTTATTGTTGAAAACAGTTAATTGCTGGCCATCCGAAAATGGAGAAGGTGGATGTGATGTTAATATAGAGTATGAATTGGAGCAAGTTAATCTTGAATTAAATGATGTTCAAATAAACATTCCATTGCCTATGGGGTGTAATCCCATAGTAAGTGAATGTGATGGACAATATACGCACGAAGCACGACGAAATACACTTGTATGGTCTTTACCAGTAGTTGACGCGTCAACAAAATCGGGTTCAATGGAATTCTCAGCACCCTCTTCTACTCCTGCTGACTTCTTTCCTCTTCTTATTTCTTTTTCGTCCAAGACATCATATGTTAATATTAAGGTACGTTTGTCAAAACTAACAAAAGTAAATATAAAAATTTATTACTTTCCTTTTTATCCCACAACGAAGAGTAACATGTTTTAATAAAAAAATGAGATTTTATAATTCAATTTTGATATGTTTCTAAAACTAAAGTTTTATTTTTTGCAGGTAACTGATGTTATACTTGTAGATGATGAAAGTCCAGTTAAATATTCAGTAGAGACAGTCTTCTTTACTGACAATTATGAAGTGGTTTAAGTGTTCAATAAATACTGTTAGTTACTTGTGCTGAAATATGTACAAGGATACAGAATTAAGCACTGTTCATTGAAATCACAATGAGTATTTTCAGTTTAATTATCATTCAAATTACAAGTTATTACCATGGAACTATTTTTACCAATTGTTGGATGCTTAAATATGTTTTAAACGGTATTTATACACAATTCATAAATAGTTTGTTTTATTTAATATATGTCGAATGTTGAATTATTAAAGAAACTTGTATACAGATATTTTATAGTTGGTAAAAAAAAAGAATACTGAAAATGTTCTCATTCCATGAATTACATTTATTACCTGCATGGTTTATTAAAAATTTGTCAGAACATTTATTTATGAGTTTTTTTTCTTGTGCAATTATATAAATTATTTTGGTGAACGTAGATCACGTATTATTAAACTTAAAAAACGGAAAAGTATTTTTTGTGTATAGTATGTATATACATACATACGTACGTACATAATTTTTAACCAATAATTAATTCAATTTTACTATTATTTCACTATTTTCTTTTAGTGCTAGTATCTTAAGCATTTAATGTTCTTATATTTTTCATTTCTAATAATGAAATGATGAAAAATATTGCTATATCTTTTTTGTACAAATATTCATAAAAAGGATAATGATATGTAGACCAGAAGAGAAAGATATTAATACTAGGTATTATAAATGTTTGTATACATATATACAAAATATTATATTAATACTTATAAAACAATTTTATTTAGCTTTATTTTGATAAGTAATAAAAAATTTAATTAGTAGTTAATTTTTCTATTAAATACGTATAATTAAATAATAAATCCTCTGTAAAATGTTTATTCATACAAAACTGAAAATATAAATTTAATTAATTGATCATGCACTCTTTTGCAAATTTTTACTGAAATAATTATATAAACATGAAAATAACACAGATATAAATATTATATTTTATATTTTACAGATTTTCTTAAAGGTCATAAATTTAAATTACATTTATATTATTTACATTATTTTATTGCAAAATATCAGATGGTACATTTACTACTTGTTGTATTAAATAATTTTCAATAACTGCTTTAGCTAGAAAAATTAATATTTTTTAATTCATATAATATGGTAAAAAATTTTGTATGTTATTTTTACTCACCAGTTAATGAATTATTTAATACTGCTGCATGATAAGCACTTATATTATGAATATTGCGACATGTAATATCAGCTTCTCTTGATAATAATTCATAGCACACATGTGGATGATTACCATATGCCCCATATATTAATGGTGTATTTCCTTCCTATATGAATAGAAAAGATAATGTTCAAAAATATTTAACAAGAACTATGCCAATATATACCTCATCACTTGCATTTGAATCAGCACCATGATTTAGTAACAATTTTACAAGATCATGGTGTCCATAAGCAGCTGCCAGATGTAAAGGTGTTTCTCCATTAAGGCCACGGTAATTTTTATTAGCACCAGCTTTAAGTAGTTTTTCTGCACTACCTAATTGTCCATATCCTGCAGCCCACATTAGACCAGTTAAACCTTTTTCATCAGGTGCATCCACACTACCTATATAACAATTTATTAATAGTTTTTTCCAATTTTGTTTTTTGTTTTAAATTTGCATAATCAGAGAGAACATACTTGAATTTATGTGTTCAGGTGTAAGTTCACCTTGACCAGCTAATGTATGGAATGTAATATCGCTATCTCCATAAAGTTGAGGTATTTCTGTCTGTGTATTACCTCTTTGTAAGTTAGTAAGTAATGTAGGTGGCTGGAAAAGATATTTGTAAGATTAATATTATATTTGAGTATCTTAAATAATAGCCTTTATCTGACTGATAATAATTTACCTTATATGGTTGAAAGGCACTAGTTCTTGTAGCATCTTGCCATGCTCCAGGAGCCCAATGCCATTTAGTTTCTAGAGGTTCAGATTTACATCCAATATTTACATTTTCTGGCTTACAAATTAAAGGTCTTGGTCTGATACCAATTGTTGATTCAACTCCATTACGTGTGATAGTATTCTTAGTTTCAGTATTAGGAGTATTACATTTCTGTTCTCTTTCTTCTTCCTCTTCTTTCACAATTAATTCTGAATGAATCTGATTTTCCATACTATCACTATCATCAAATACAATTAATAAAACGTTACAAAGTTCATAAATGAAATGACAAATATATTACATAGAGGTTACAGTTTTATCATTGCACAGTATGCAATTTATTATTGCACTCTCCAATATTAGATAACATTCATTTCAATATTTCTATAAATTTAATTCGATTCATTGATGTGTATTTGGGGTAGATATTTATTAAAATATAATAAAGATGTATGTTTATACACTCAAATAAGTGATACTTTGACAACATACTAACAAGAGTGATAGAAATGTGGATTTAGGTTCTCCCGAGTGTGTTGTAAAATTAAAAATTCTGGAAAATTATATATTTATATTGATTTAAATGTATCTTATAACTTAATTTCCGATATATTTATTTATGTCAAAGTAATTTTATTGTCATAACATGAGTAACTGTTTAAGGAGTATAATTTTTAAAAAGGTATAACAGTAGTTTTACTATTTATATACCTTAAATGTGAAACAAAATAATTACAAGTTTAAGCATTTGTAATAAATTCTTTTTATTTATTTTTGATAAAATAGTTAGCATTATTAAAATTAAAAAATGTTTATTTTGTTGTCACATACCGGTGGTTTACTTTTATCAGTAGTTATTACTTATAATTCATTTGTTCGTTATAAATTTCTATATTAGAACACATTATATTTAAAACTGTTTTTTATGAATTGAATCACATATGTATTAAATTATTTCAAATATAATTAAACCCTATTCTGTTTTAGGTTATAAAACCTTTGCAAAATATAGACAATGTTTATCAACAAAAACTTATATCTAATTTACACGTGAAGTGTAATCAAACATGCGATACATACTGTTTTATGCTTCCTTTGAAATCGGAAGATTATAACATAACAAATGAAATAAAAAATCTTGCACAAAATAATATAAAGAGCACTTTTGATGATGTTATAATAAAAGATGATACTGTATATTTTAATGTATCAAGAGATAAGTATTTGAAGGCAATCTTAGAAAGCAATTTTTCTGCTGTAGCACCACCATTAGTTATAAATAATGATAAAAATGTCATTGTAGAATTTAGTTCACCAAACATTGCTAAACCATTTCATTTTGGACACTTGCGTTCCACAATTATAGGAAACTGTATAGCTAATATAAATACTTTTTTACAAAATCAAGTTGAAAAAATAAATTACCTAGGAGACTGGGGTACACAATTTGGTTTTATTCAATTAGGAATTGAAATGACAAATATTGAGGATGCAAAACTACAAACAGATCCTATTAAAACTTTGTATCAAGTATATGTTACTGCCAATAAGTTAGCTGAAAGCAATCCAACATTACATGAGCGTGCTAAAGAAATATTTAAACAACTAGAATTAGGGGATAGCACAATTTATAAAAATTGGCAAAGAATTAGACATTATACTGTCAAGGAATTGGAAAAGACATATAAAAGGATAGGTGTAGTCTTTGATAAATATGAATGGGAATCTATGTATACTGCTAAAAATATACAAAAAATACTTGATTTGATGGAAGAAAGACAGTTATTAACATTAGATAATGATAACAGGAAGGTAATAGCCATAAGTAATGAAAGGACAGTTCCAATTATTAAAAGTGACGATTCATCATTGTATATAACTCGAGATATTGCTGCTGCTATTAATAGGTTTGAGAGATACAAATTTGATGCTATGTATTATGTTGTGGACTATAGTCAAACAGAGCATTTTAATAATTTAATTCAGATTTTAAATAAAATGCAATTACCATGGGTAGATAGATTAAAACATGTTAAATATGGTAGAATACATGGTATGAGTACAAGAAAAGGAACAGCAGTATTTTTAGAGGATATTTTAAATGAGGCCAAAGAAATTATGAGACAAAAACAAATTAATACAAAGAGTAAGTTAATTTCATCTATAATCAAAGACAAAGTATCAAGTAAATGAAATGTTTAAATTTTTATTTTATTTTAGCAACTAAGGTATCATTAGAAGATCTTGATTCTACTTCTGACATTTTGGGTATTTCTGGTATAATTGTTTATGATCTAAAACAAAATAGAATGAACAATTATGAGTTTAATTGGAACTCTATACTCAATGTAAGTTGTTTAAACAAAGTAATAGCTTCTATTAGAAGTCTCAATGTTATTCATTAATTATGAATTACATATTTTAATATTAGATGAAAGGTGATTCTGGAATAAAATTACAATATACTCATTGCCGATTATGTAGCTTAGAACGTCTATCTAATGCTACGTTAGTAACAGAGTGTGATCCAAGTTTGTTAAAAGAACCAGAAGTTGATAATTTGATCACACTAATCAGTCAATTTGATGAAGTAATAATTAAATCTTATGAACAATTAGAACCATGCATATTAACAGTATATCTTTTGCATTTATGGTTAGTGTGGATATATTACATGAATAATTGTAAGTATATTAATTTATGCACTACTTGTAATGTATTCATTTTTTCTACAGCAAAGCAATCAATGTTGCTATGCGTACATTGAGAATAAAGGGTGAATCAGTTGACTTAGGGAATCAAAGACTGTTGCTATTTCATGTAGCAAAAATTATTCTTGCTCGAGGTATGAAATTATTAGGTTTAACACCTTTGGAGGAAATGTAATGAAAACGAGTATAATTTTAACAATAAATCCCAGTTTTACACGTATAATGCTTATGGACTGTTTGTCATGATTTCCTACAGTGGTCATTCTATTATTTTGAAAATATTTGAGAGATATTTTATAAGAACTTATTCAAGTCTATTAGATACATTCAGCATACACAGAATCGGAAAACAGAATTAACGTTTCTTCCACGTGAATTTTCTTCGAGCTCCTTCCTGTCCATACTTCTTTCTTTCGCGGACCCTCCGATCGAATGTTAGAAGTCCGGCTAAGCAAAATATTCCTTTTATAGATTATATCTTTAACAATTAATAAGCAATTAGATTCTTTTCCTTACCAATTCTCATTTTTTCTATCATCTCGATACTGACAAAATTTCGAAGCGCCTTAGAAATACCCCAACGAATAAGGCCTGATTGTCCAGTTGGTCCCCCACCATAAGCGGTTGCTTCAACATCAACTTTTTCGCTCATATCCGTAAATATTAAAGGAAATATAACCTGTAATACAAAATAGATTATGTTCAATATAATTAGAGTAATTTTTTAATGCACGAAGTGTTAGAAAATAGATTATTAATCAAGTTATGTGCCGAGTATCACGCTGCTAATAAATTTTACAGTATGTATATATTGTACGTAGTATAATATTTTTATTATCTTTTTCAAAATTTTATCATAAGTTTTGAATTTAACACGGCACGAAACCTGTTAACACTTTGACGACTGTTGTCACGTATTCTTGATTATGATGCTTAATTTTTTATACCATTACTTTTATCTACTAAATGAAATGTAAATAAGGATACGGTTGTCAAAGTGTTAAGTGCAATGCAAATAAAAGTATTTTCTCAAGGCGATTAAACTGATTTCTATCCACCTGATGCTTTAACTTAATAATTAATTTTATAATTTTATTTCATATGAAAAAGAGAGAAACACCAGTTTAATTACCTAATTCTTAGAAAATTTCTTACAATGAAACGTGCCGGTCCTAGTCAAGTGTATTTATCTTGACGATTTCCTACAATTAACAACTCTTCTCTTATTCAAATGTTTAAACAACTACCATCAGGACAATCATTAAATTATAGACTCGTTACTCGAATACAAAATATTCAGATTCATCTCTTACAATTAACAATTATTTTTATTAAACTTTCATCACGATCAAAGAGACTTAAACTGTATAAAAAAAATTACGACTATTATTATGAATAAGTTTACGAAGTAACTCCTTCTCGCCACTTTCACTCTGTTCCCCCTAGGGGTCACTTGTTTTTTTACGACATTCGAACTTACGGTTATTTACATAGAAACTTAATTCATTGCGAAACTTTCGATCATTTGTATCTTTCGTTCACTAATTACAACTATCCCCGACGAGAGTCCTCCGTTTTGAGTTTTAAATGATTGTAATTTCAGTACCTAGAAGATCTCAGTTACTCTTTTCCTTCGTCAGACTTTTCACAACACTTTCCAGCGTCTTATTAGTATCTAACAGCTGCTCCTTCAGCGACTTGATCGTGTCCTCGTAGGATTGCAATTTGTTAGCCAGGTTCTCAATGACCATTTGCAAACTAGGATCTGAGTACTCCTCGGTCTGTTGTCTCATCCACATCACGTGATCGCTCAGGCTGACATTATCATCGTTCATAAACGGTATATTCTTCTGAGCGATCTCGTAGGCTGCTTTCAGGATGTCCTTGGGCAGCCTCTTCTCCAGAGGATTCAAAGGTTTTACCACCAGGACCCTTTTCCTGTTCTCCACGTTGATCTTATGATCGGACATCCACTTTCGGAAAGCGTATGGGATGGAACTATTATGCAGGACCATTTCGGTAAATAGAATCAATTTCGTTTGACGGACTAGCTTAGTCAGCCCGGCGTGGTTTCGTAGGCCCTGGATGTCATGGACAGCGATCCCCACCAGTAGGTTCATCAGGATCACCGTGACGAACACGATGAACAGAGTGAATAGTATTTGAGAGCATACGGACAGAGGATGATAAATGACGAAAGGTCCTTCGGATTCTAATCCCTGATCGATCTGAGTGATTAGACTGTCGAAGTCCAGCTCACCAGCCATCATAGCCAACACTTTGATAAGCCCTGTGAACGGGTTACCGAAAGACGGTTCCCCGACGAAGATAACGCAGAAACTGACGGTGAAGCCTATCAGCAATCCGGAATAAGCTAGCAATAACTTAGCGAATTCGAATTGTATATGGGTAAACATTGCCACGTAGGTACCAAATGCCGGCAGCTGGCCGACCATCAGCATCAGGTTCGTCCAGGCGCATAGTATCGCGAATGCCCCCACGTAGTTCTGCCAGTCGTAGGTGCGTCCGGTGTAGATGAACGAGGTGACGAACACGCTGATGATGACCACACCGTCAAGAACGTTATCGATATTGGAGAAGTACTGTTTGGCTGAGGTGTAGACCATGAAACCGAAGATCTTTCTGGGAATTGATATGCAGGTGAAGATGAAGAGTAGGTACCACTGGATCTCGATGACGGGTCTTCTGAAGAGGAAGCCGGAGATGCGTTTGCTGCTGCAGATCTTGGAGCTGCTCGCATCGTCGTAGTTGTAACACTTGTAGGCTAACGCGGTGAGGACGTAGGTGGTCATACAGATGACGGTCATAGCGTATAGCATGATCCTGAGCAGATAAAACTTCCTTATCTTTTCCCATTTCAGATGGAGGAATGCCATGACTAGCGGATGGGAGAGCAGATCCTTGCGACGTTCCTGGACGAAGGTGTTGATGAAGCTGGTCTCGCATTGATTACCACTGGGGAAGAGTAGATCGAAGTGCAGCCTCATTTCGAACTCCCTGTTATGGGGGACGGGTCTCCTGAGGGTTATCGAAGCGTCCAACCTCTGTCGGAACACCTGTAGAGACTCGGGGATCTTCCTGAGGATAATGTTCAACGCGGACAGTCCTGCGCTGGTGGTCGCACTGACATCGGCGCCCGCCCAGATTAGAACATCGACGCAGTGGGACTGCTCGTTTAGCGCAGCCACGTGAAGAGGAGTGAAGCCGGTCTTGTCCGCGGCGTTGATCAGGGCGCCGTGTTTCAGCAGAAGCTCCACCAGCTTAGCGGACGAATGCGTGGTCATCACAGCGAAATGAAGGGGTGTTCTGTGCGCCCTATCCACGGCGTTGATATTCGTACCGGGTGATTCGAGTAGCAATTCTACGCATTTTATGGACTGGACGAAGCAGGCTACGTGGAGCGGGGTCTCGCCCGTATGGTTCTTTTCGACGACGCTCGCTCCTCGTTCCAGCAACAGTTCCACGATCTCCACCGCTGCTGCCCTAATGGCGCAATGCAAAACTGGCTCGACCATCTCTTGATAAAGACAGGTACTAGGCTTCGCGCCGTTATCTAGAAGCACTCGGGCTGCGTCCACGGAGTTCCCTAACACAGCAAAGTGAAGAGGCGTGTAATGATTGATAGGATTCCTGCAATTGATATCGACACCCTTCTCGATCAGATGCTCGATGCAAGCTACGTTGCCGCTCAGCGATGCGGCCAGGATCGCGTTCATGCCAGTGCAAGGCTCGACGTATTCGCACTTGACTCCCCAGTCTTCCAGTTTCGGTAGAAGCCGAGCCAGCCCTCGGTAACAGCACCACATGTACGCTATATTCCTTATCCTCTCGCCCGAAAGCATTTCTGGTAAAACGTTGCACTTTTCTAGCTCCAGCAGCAGTTTCATCTCGGCGGTGGTGACGATGGACCACATTATCGACCGTAGATCGTTGCCGTTGATCTGGGCCTGTTTCATCACGTCCAGGTTGTCGTAGAACAGGGACTCGTCGACGGGTGGCGGAGTACCAGCGTCGATCTCCACATGATCGTTCCTGGAATTGATCAGAGGAGCATCGTTGATCACTATCGTCTCCGAGTTACTCGACTGTCGATATCTGACTGAACGGAAGGTGGAGGCGAACCTAGCGGGCAGAAGATCGTTCGATCGGTCGTTCAAGTTCGACATAGAGGAATGTTTGATTCGTCCTTCGTGGGCGATCGGTAACCTGAGTGTTTGGGTCATTTGTTCGGTAACCGCATCGCTGATGTACGTCTTCATCGAGGAATCTCTGTCGTCGTCGTCGTCGTCGTCGTCGTCGAAGTTGAAGCTGGCTCGACGATTTTTTAATCTCGTTAAGGAATAATGTCTGGTTCTTCTGCCGCGACTCGTCAACCTCTTCGTTTTTCTTTCGTCCACGTTCTCGTGGATTTCTCCGTCTCCTTCCATCGCCCTCCAACAATCATTTTCGTCAAATGACAGACGACGATCTCTTAAACTGGTTAACGAGTAACGACGCGGCCTTTCCTCGGAAACGTTCATCTTGATCTTCGTCTTTAATCTGTACCTTCTGTACGTCTTATCGTTGATTCGTTTCTAAAAGAATGTATCCCCTTTTTGACCGCGATGAAAATAACGAAGAAACTGCGCGGTAACACAAGAACACACTCTCTGCTATCGTTGATCACCTCGACAGAACGTTCCAATCGTCATACCTCGGCCTCACTCTTTTCTTCGTTTATCACGTCACGTCCCAAAGTCATTTGGATCACTTTAAGAGAATGCTCTCGTCATTGCAGTACACGCGACTACCGGTGTCACTCGCCCGACTGACTTATATTAGCTACTTCGTATTGGATTCGTTCTATATATAAGTTCATAGGAAAATACATTGCTTCCGTTCGAGCAGCCAGTACTCCCTCGAATAGGGACCTTGAACTTAAAAACCAACGGTACACAGGGTCACTTCCAAGCAAGTCTCACGTTGCAGTAAACTAGCTTTCTGTTGATCAAAATTCCATCCAATCGATTTCTACTCCTTCTTCCTTTTTTTTTTTTCTTTTATTCTGGGATCCTCTGTCTGACTTAAATAGGTACTTGCTATTTCTTCTCTTTGGAATCTTCTTATTGGAATTTCACTTCAGTTTCTTCAAGTTTATGTATCTTCTTATGCACCTTCATGAGCACATTTCATTGTAGAATAATAATTATTGAGTTATGATTTACCAGGAAATTGTGAGTTTATACCAGAAACATCATACAAAGTATAACTCAAATTAATTTAAACAATTTCATCATATATTGATCAATAGCCATTCAGATTTTACTTCCTATTTATTAAGCTTTGATGAAATTCAAAAGTATGCATATGAGATTACCAAACATATAAGAAATTTAAATATTCTGAATCAGTTATTCATTTTAGTTGACACTGATATGTAAAGTCTTATGATTTTATGCTTTCTAATTAAATTTTATGCAATGTATATTAAAACAAAATGGATAGTCTTGATATATCACAGTAAAATTATTTAATTTCCATCAAAAGACTTTTATACATAAATTATATCATTTATAAAAATATGAATATTCCTGTTTCCATTATTCATTCATAAATTAATTATTAAATTATCAAATTTCATTCGTTCCTTTCAAAAACACTTTGCTTATAGAATAACTTAACATTAAATTCTAATCTAAATATTTCCCATGAATAACAATGATTCCTTATAACAATGCTCAATACAAAATGAAATATTCTTAAACTCTTCACACGTGTCCATCGCTCTCGTTATTTTTAATTCAAACAAGTGTTGAAAATAAAAATTTATAAATTCTCACTAATGTCAATCTACAACGCGTCTTTCAGTCCATGACATCACCGTTAATCAATAATTATCAATCTTTTGCCAACAGGTAATGAATAAATTGTTCACAGAGGTTCACTGACACCTCTGACAGGAAAGGTAAGATTCACCGGGATCCATTCGAACACTTTTCACAATTAATAAAGAGAAAGCTGTGTCGCAGATCTTATACGAGTCGATCGAGAAATGAAAGACGGAGCTGAAACTCCACGCGATACAAAAGTCCGCTCGAATGTGAGTCTTTTCGCGGATCCGACGTGTCTTTAAGATGTTCCGTAAAATCTAGATACATTCACGAGGCCTGAAATCCAGCGTCCTTGTTCAATTCCATCACGGCCGGTAATTGTGTTTCATCGCGGTACAGACTTTGTTCAGAATCAGATTTTCTATAAATTGAAACCGGTTCTTTCAAATAGTTCCACGAACATACATATAACGAATACCAATACTCATATTTGAATATTCTAAAAATGAGATAGGTTTATCATCGGCTATAATTTCTTTTTTTTTAATTAGAAGTGATGATTTAATAATTCGAGTAAAATATATTTTATTTGTTTAATTATTATCAATGGTGTTAATTAAAATTGGAACAGTTGAGATTAGGTAATTTTCTAATGTTATTAATTTGCATTTTTATATGCAAATTTTGTATGACTGATGTACCGTTTTTTGAAACAAAGGAACAAATTATGGACATCTCTTTTAATTGCTTTAGAACTTGATTCTAGATTTGCAATTGAAGTTGCATTGAGTCGAGAGATATAGTGGGAAGAGGTTACAGCTAAATGGCTAATTAATGAAAAAATAATTGGTAGTCACATTCTTAGAAGTTATCAAACGTTTCCTTAGTTGATAATATCGTGTAAAATGATAAGAGATATTTTTAGGTAGTGATCTCTCAGTATTTCTGTAGAAATCATTAAATGCTTTTACAAATTCACATTGCGCCTTCGTTTTATATTATTTTTTTCATTTTGGTATTTAAACATCTTTCGAAACGTGTTTAAAGTTACAAAAATACCGAAGTTTACGTAAAATTATATTGAGCAACAAGGTGGTTCTTTTAAATTGCTCAGCAGACATAACAGAAATATAATATTCAGGTTGAAAAAATATTATTTAATTTCTTTTTTATAAATTATTTTAAATGATACTCCTTTAAAAAATGTTGTCTTTAATATTTTTCAATCAATTAGGTTTATTTTGAGATATCTCAATCAGGGTATGATAAATTTTTAATTAAAGATTTACAACGTTCATTAGCAAATCTTCGATACTAATTCCTAGCTTTCTAGGGTAATGAGTAATCGCTTTATTACCACAATTAAACACTGTTTCAGTTTCCATTAGTAAGTGATTATGTTTTTATTTGAAACTGTAAACAAGGTGACTAGCTAAGCATTAATGAATACAGTGATTCATGTCCAAAAGAAATATGTAGATTTAAACGGTAACTATAATTACCAATATACAACAGAAAAAAGTAATAAATGGAAATAAATGTACTATGAAAAAAGTAAAAAGATTTTCAGGATACTTAAACTCATTTTGTTTAAAAATTTTTATTATTTACTTCTTAAACGATAAGCCATACCAAATGTTATAAACTAACGAAGGCTGTAATTAAAATTGACGTTACGGATAAATTTATTGTATAATACCAACTGTAACAATAAAGTTACAAAGAAGAAAACATTAAACAAACAGTATAAATTTCTTATAAAATTATACTATAATTTAATTATAGGATTTCTTCATTTAACAGTAAAGAGGCAGAAACATCAAATATCAAACCATGATGAAAGTTTAACCGGAAGCTTAACGCAAGTCACTGCAAACATTCATGACATTCAAAATTATAAATGATTATAATTTGCATACTTGTAATGAATTCCAAGAGATAGGGAAGAAACATTAATTTTATTCGAATGATTGAAAGGCACTTAACTTTTTGACAGCTTTGATGATCAAGTTTTTTTTAACCCATTCATTCCTCACCTTATTTTTATTTATTGAATCACGTATCAATTACAGTTTAAAAATAAGGAATTACTTGTTAGATAAAAAATTATAAAATTCATAAAATTCAAGAAATATACGGCTGTAAAAGTATCAAGAAATATTTCTACTCCTGTCGCATAAGAAACATCTTTTAAAAAATATTATCAATAATTTTCTTAATCTTTTGCCTATGCACTAAAGAATTGCAATTATTTTTCAATCATCATCATTAAATAAATGTTACATACAACTCGTTGCCATAAAACTTCTCTAAAATTTCCTTCGAATTAAATTTTATTTCAAAAATTATTTTTAACATACAAAGAAACACCTGTAACAACTTGGGAACAATTTATTTATATTCTTTATGTACAGTCAAATATAAAAATTAAAATCCAATTAAAATCACGTTTCAGGTCTCATACAATATCATTAGTACATTAAATATGAAAATATTTCAGGTAGTATTCAATAATTTATTCCTAAATATTCCTACGATTTTTACAATATTCGTGTTATGGACGGAATTTAACATATTCTACAATATTTTACAAATATTGAGCACGAGTCTCTCTTTGAATCTTTCAGCTACGAAGACGGTATAACAACTTTCTCAGATGCAACAAAAAAATATGTTTCTCGTGTTCTTGACACACAAAACGACGAAAGAGCGCTTGCCTCGAAGAACGGAAATTATCATAAATTTCAAACTTTCGTCTATTTCAGTGTCACGTGTATATATACACAAATATTTTATACATATTGTGTTTCTTTCATCAAAATCATGAATTGGTATTTAATCGATGATCTTATACGATCATCTGTTTCATCTTTAAAAGATTACGTCCAAATTTAAATAGGAAGCACTGCAATAATTAATATAAAAAAAATTCCAACATGAGAAATGATAAAACTCTAATCTTCAAAATTTAAAATACAAGATTGTATAGAAATGTTTCAAAGCGAGTCTGAAATCTCTAAGAATGATCCAACGATTTAGAGTCCTTCAGATCGTTCACACGATATCTTCAAGGTTTCAAGAACTTAAAAAGAAAAAAAAAAGAAGATACGTCTAATTATTCTCATCCTCTTCCTTGCCGCGCTTCTTCATTACTAGATGCATCACTAGATCTTGAAGAAGCTGATGATTTCTTTCACAGATTTGCTTCACCTCGGCTAACTCTCCTTTGATCGTGTAATCATCGAAAGGGACAACGTCTTCTTCGGGTAATCGTCGACGAAACGAGGTGTACGGTTCACTTTTCAGATACGTATGCACGGTGCTGGTACTCTTTCTACTGTACAACGTGCCGGACATGCCTTTACGTTCTTTCGCGACCTTGTGGGCGGCGAATAACAAGTCGCGAGGTAATCTAGTTTCTCTGGGGTTAAGAGGTCGGACGGTTAGAACCGCTCTCAAGGGCGACGGTAACAATAACGCGGTCCACCTTAAGAATTTCGTTAATCGTTTAGGCATGAGCCCGAGAAAAAGTGCGGTCTCCACGTCGCAGATCAGTTTGGTCTGCCTAACCAGTTTAGCCAATCCAGCCGTCTTTTGTAGTCCTTTTATGTCGTGCACTGCTATGCCGACCAGTAGATTCATCAGTACTATGGTGACGAATAAGAGGAACAAGACGAACGATAACTGAGCGGACACCTGCAACAAGATCCACGAGGTACCTCCTGAATCTGTTGAGTTACCGTCCTCTTCCCTAGGGAAGAACAGGTCTTCGAAGTCAAGTTCCCCGGTCATCATTACCAGCACTTTGATTAGACCTATGTGTGGGCTACTGAAGGACTTGGAGCGTGGAAAGATCACGCAGAAGCTCGCGGTGAAACCTACCAGGAGACAAGCGTAGGCTAACAGAAGCTTGAACACTTGCGCCTGGACGCTGGTGAACATCGCCACGTACGCTCCGAATATCGGCAATTGTCCTATCATTAGCATAAGGTTGCTCCATCCGCAGAGAACCGCGAACGCCCCGACGTGATTCTGCCACGCGTACGTTCTGCCGGTGTAAATGAACGACGTAGCGAAAACGCTCAGTATCACGCACCACTCCACCATGTTCTCGGCCTGAGTGAAGAACTGGCGGACCGAGAGATAGGTAGGAATGCTGGTCAATTTGCGGAACGCTTCTAGAATAGTGAGCACCATTAACGCGTACCACTCCAGCTCCAGCAGA